CTGACACGCTATCTCTCTGTCTCTCTGTCTGTCTGTCCTTTAGGACGCTGCTGATGAACGCCGGGGCCGTGCTCAACTTCAGGCTGTGAGCGAGCGGGCGGGCAGGGATGGAGGGAGGCGGTATTGGGGGGGGGGGACTCACCCGCCTGACACGGGCCCCCCTCGCTGTCCCGCAGGAGGAAGAGAGACACGGAGGGCTTCGGCGAGGAGTCGAGGGAACCCACGACCGGTAACGGAGGGGAGCCGGGAGCCGCGGAGCGGGGCCTGAGCCCTCGCCCCGGGGCTGCCTCAGGGTTGTCTGAATGAATGTCCCCAGGAACGGGCGTTTTCTGACGGAAAGTCCTCGTTGAGGCATTTCCAAGGCGCCAGAGTACAAGTTTAACCCCGTTTTGTTTGGATGCGAATTAACTCTGTGGCTGGAACTTAAGTTTACTAAATTGCAACCTCAAATTTTTACCTCCGTCATGTTTACATACAGGCTGGACAAACCAATTACCATCCAGTATTGGTGATTTGAGAAGAAATACAAAAATGCGTATTTCTTTCTGCGTTTTTGAACATAGGTGCCTGTGCTACAGAGGTAACGCTCTGCTCGTAACTGGATTTCCATTTCGCTGTGTGTGCACGGGCATTGCTCCTCTGCCTCTGCTCCTTAAAAGTCCCAGGAAGACTGGAAACTACAACAGAGGGCTGCCCTGCCCTTTTTAATAGTGTGACCCCTTTTAATCTTTGTTTATTTTGCCACATGCCCTTAGAGGGATGCCCTGAACGTAGCATGGATTGTTTACCTAAAGCTTCAGCTTTTGGGTTTTTGCTCTGTCACCATTTTGAGTTTTTTCTGTCACATGTTTTTAAGGCACTGGTGAAAACGTGACTTGTCAGGACATTAGGTATTTTTCACATCAAGGGCTTCTTCTCTTGATCTTTAGGTGACAATATCAGAGAGTTCTTGCTGAGTCTCAGATATTTTCGAATCTTCATTGCCTTGTGGAATGTCTTCATGATGTTCTGCATGATTGTGTAAGTAATGCCATACAGCATCTTGTCATTTGTTTATAGGAAGCTGTATATGTTGGGATTTTTCTTGCACATATATTGCTTTTTGGATCTCTTTCTTTCCTGCTCTACTGTTCCATAATTCATTTTCATTTCACTTCAGTCTTCAAAGACATGTTGGTTGACCTCACAGTTTTTTGGTAATATGGGCAACTGTAATGCACAAAAACCTTCTCTGCTAGTGTGTGAGTCATTTAGCCTTAAATACAGTGTTCCTTGTCAGCTGCTTAGATAAAACATCGCATTTCAGTTTAACTTTGGGGATGCTTTATCATTTTCGGGGAAGGAAAACCCCCCACCAAGTAATAGAATGGAATCAGCCTTGAGAACAGTCTCTGGAAACAACAGGCCTTAGTTCTGACAGGCAGGCTCACTCACGGGCTGCCTTCCCCTCACTCAGAGCTCTGTGGTCTGAGGCATGGGGGAACGAAACCACTGGCCAGATGTGCCCTGGTGCTGTGAGTTGAAAGGGCATCAGTGTGACTGTTCAGTTGTACATGGTTCTCATCTGCTCTTTTTTTTTTTTCCTGTTGCATCCACTAGGTTATTTGGATCTTGAAAGTCATCCACAGATACGCCTGTTAACTTGGAAGAGACTTTTGGCTGGAAACAACTTTTCTATAGAGTAAAAGATTATAATGCTTTCAAAACACCGCCCTGGGATTGTGGCCTGTTCTTTGGTACAAACCCCTAACACGCTCCTGGGATGGGACATGTTCATCCTCTTCAGCTAGTCGTGTAATAATACGGTGCATGCTGGGGGAATTGAGCCTTTAGGCCGCTGAGCTAAAAATCTTCAAAGTAAAATTATTTCAACTTTACTGAAATAAAAGAGAACTTTACATTGTTTTGCTAGTCTTAGAGAGCGGTGCCCGGTATGCAGAGTAGAACTGGGGCATGACTGAAGACCATGGTCTTAAATCTCTGTGTTGTCAGTCACTCCCAGCTCTGGATGTGTCTGCTAGTGTCACCGTGGCATAGGGTACTTGGAAGTTGCACTTGATTCTCATTTTTATAAAGCTGAGCAAAGTATTGGTGTAACTTCACTATTCCATTTAGTTTTGTTGCAGAAATAGGATTTAAAAAAAACGGGATTCTCACCTTCTCGCTGTTTTTCCAACAAAATACTTCCTAAATTAAAATTTCAAAGATAAGGGTGGGGTTTTTTTTTCTAAGCAGTATATAAGGGATTTTGAATAGCAAAAATAATTCTATAAGCCAATGCTAAGGCATAGTTTTGAAATAATCCTGGATTTGGTTCAATAAAGTTGTTCTATTTAAGGGTAAAATGTCATCTGATGCTGTGTTTATTCTCTTGCAAGAAAAATAAATTCCGTATTGGTGTGTTTTTTGAGAAATTTTACTAAGTCTTGTGTCTGGTTGCTTGTGTTATTTTTATTTACGTTGAGTTAGCCTCTTTGACCAGCAACCATGCCCCCAGCATCCATCACCAAGATAATTTAAGGAGTGCAGTGCTGGGAATCTTTTAAATCAAACCAAACTATTAGTGGAACTTTCTTGGCCTCGATTTCTTTAACTGACCGTTGAGAAGGAGAGAGAGGTCTCCTTTAAATGAATCTGAAGCTCAGGTTTTAGCAAGTACCTTGAATTTTATTTGGATGAAGTCGGGTAGTCAGACACATGTTGGGCACTAACAGCAATTTACTCAAGTCACCCTCTTTTGCATAAACTGAAGTTTTTCATGCTAATGAAACATGAAAGGGGAAGGGTAGTTCTGTTCTGGGGATGGACAGCTTGAAGGAAGATGCCTTGCTGTCCTGAATGTAGAAAAATGTATGAAAGAAAGGATCCTTCAGGTGTGGTTTGAACTGTCCAAAGACTTACAATCCTAGGTTTAAATTTAAACATATTCCTAGTCTTTAATATTTGTATTTTATATTTTTACCTTTTTTTAATTCTTTTGAATGAGCAAAAAAAAACCCCAGCAGGCTGCCTTGTCATGGCATCTGAACAAAATCCAGTGCTTTATATAGTTCTTGGAAAACATTTTCTCCCTAATCTTCATTAAAGCAAGTCTTGCCCTGCAATGTAAAGGGGAGGTGGGGAATGGGCCGTCACCATCTGGGCATAAGCCCCTGGACTCGGCGCTTGGGCTCAGTTTTGGACTCGGGGAGAGGGTGGAGGTTTAATTCTTACACGGAAAAATAGTTGATCCTGTGCAGAAGTGCCAGTCTGCCTTCTGAGGAACGCTCTGCATACAGGAATGAGGATGATCAAGCTCTGCTGGTAGAGGAATACGGACAATTTTATCACTCTAAATAGATTATGTGGCTTAACAGCGTGCTGTTGGCTCAAGATTTCAGTTGTTCAAAAGAATAAAAGTTGTCATTCAGCTTTTAAGTAGGTGCTTTAAAATTACCCCTTAGTTTTGAGCTGCTTTTAAAGGCTCTGAAAAGTTTAAATGTTGGGCTGATCACTTACCCAGTGTGGTGCAGGATGCCTTTCACTTAATTTGTACGGCTGCTTTTGTACCAAATCCATTTGTGTATTAGAAGCTTCTGAAAACCTGACTTGCCTTTTACTTGCGCTTTCTTCTGAATCAAGGAGACAGTCGGAGCGGGAAGGGAAATAACGTCTGTAAAAAACAACTATTTGTTCCGGTTTTGTAAGGTTAATTCTTCCCAGGTAACGGCTGGAAATCTGTAATTGTTTTCGTCAGCCGTTATGGTGAAAATAGTGAAAAAAAAAGTTCTGCCGCTTAGCAAAAAATATTTTTTTCTACAATACACTGGACTTTTCCCAACTTAAAGGGCCACATTACCTTCCTGCGAGCCTGAAACGAGGCATCGGGGCTGTGGGAGCCGAGGAGCGCTGCTTTACCGCCGATATTTGCCCCCTCAAGCCCTCTCTCGCTCCCGGCCGGGGCCGGGGCCGGGGCCGTCCCG